TGTGTATATATATATATATATATATATATATATATATATATGCTTTTATGAAGTGTTGTTGTTGTTGGTTGTTACAGGTGAGGCTGCACGCTTGAGTGCCCTGCGTCGAGGAGAGGACCCAACAGCAGCAGCAGCAGCAGCAGCAGCAGCAACAGCAGCAGCAGCAGCAGCAGCAGCAGGACCTGCAGCAGGTGCTGCTGAGGGATGTGGAGAGTACATAGAGCAGCGGGAAGAGAAGGATCCTGAGTGTGCTTCTCGCGCGTTGCAGCTGGGCTGCAGCAGCAGCAGCAGCAGCAGCAGCAGCAGCAGCAGCAACAATAATATTAAAAGCATAAAGAGAGGCACGCCACGCTTCTCCCAAGAAGAAGAAAGCTGCAGCAGCAGCAGCAACTGCTGCGTCGACGCACTAACAGATAAAATGCAGCAGCTAAAGATGAACCCTCACTGCTGCAGGCCAGCAGGAAAACCAACAGAAGTTGCTGGCTATGCAGGCAGACGATGATATATATTTATTTATTTATTTATTTATTTATTTATTTATTTATTTATTTATGAGTTTACTTGTTGTTTTATTTGTTAGTTTTGTTGTTTTGTTGTATTTTGTTGTTTATTTTGGCGTTTGTTTGGTTTTTTGAATGCATTAGGAAGTTTGTTTGTCTTGTTTAAATTTATGTTTTTTTTTTTTTCTCTTTTTGTTTTTGTTTTTGTTTTTGTTTTTGTTTGTATCTCTTTACTTATACCTCACCTCTCTTCTTTTGTCTCTGCATGCATTTGCTTGTGTTTGTGTTTGTGTTTATATTTGTTTTCTTTCTGTTGTGGTGAGAGAAAAGAAACTGAAATCGGTGGTTTAGTTGGGGTGTATAGGCAGCTCATGGGGTGTATGTACACCTGATGATATTGGCTGCTGTTTTGTTTTTTCTTCTTTCATTTGTTTAAATTAAATTAAATTAAATTATTTATTATGTGTTTATATTAAATAAAAACAAAAATTTAATTTATTTCTCCCCCCCCCCCTTTTCTGTATTCTTGAGGGCGACGAGCTGTTAACTCAGCTGCGGGGGCTTAAAAAAAATT